ATTTCAATTTCATTAAAATCGCAGGAGGGTCACATTAGATGCCGATATTTCTTACAGGATGGCAATTGAGCCAGCTCTAAGTAGCCAATGGCACTTAGCAACTGTATTTCATGTTGCATAGATATGATGACCAAACCACACATTTAGTCATCATATCATCAGTCAGGTTATTATGATTCATCGTCTTCATATTGCTAAGCTGGGTGATAAAATTTGACGAGAAACAAAGGCGTTCTCAGGAGCTGAGGCTCGTTCCTGCAAACTCTTGCCAGTTAAGTACTGTTAAGTATGAACACAAGTATGAGTTGCGTCAGTCTTTACTTTGCCAATGGCGTGAAAATCAGTATTTAAATGAATCAAACATTCTAAGACAAACATTATACTATAATATATTTAAATTATTATTTACGAGAACGCTTCTATTCTTCTAAAAATAAGTTTTCTCCCAAACTGCGTTTGATTACAATATTTACGCATTCAGTATGCCCGACTGTGGCCGCCTGAACCGCCCATTATCAACAGCTCCTCCAACTTTGTTACATATATTATATAACCTCTAAATTCATTTCTTGACGAAGAAGAATTTACCGAGGAACAAAAATTGCTCTTAACTCCTTTTTACCTCAACCTCGGCATGCGAGTAATGATGATTTGGCAGAGATGGAGTAGATATTGCTCCCACATGTTATTCTCTCTTTTAATGTTAAGGCAACGAGCTTCGTTATCAAAAAAACTTTGGAATGCCTTTCATATATTTTTTTACCGCAATAGATTGCCAGTTATCTTTTTAATTTAAGGAAATTCGCGAGAATATTTTTGCGTTTTAATTCCTAGGATTTAATTTGGCTGTCATGTTATAGACTGTCTAGAGGATTATGTTCCTGATGAATGTGCAGAGTTTTCCCTGGTCAAGAATGTCCTGGGCAGAGATGTCCTGGTCGGGGGATGTCCCGGTCGGGGGATGTCCTGGTCGGGGGATGTCCTGGGCAGATTTTATCTCACGGAAGTTTGTCCTGGTTAGAATTGACATGAAGAGATGTGATCTGATCAGGCAACCTGGTCATGTGGTCAAGTGTGACCTGGTCAAGTGTGACCTGGTCAAGTGTGATCTCGTCAAGTATTCACCTAGTTGTGCTTGTGGGGGTTGAGCTCTGCTCTTTTGGCCCGCCTCTCAACTGTCAATCAATTAACTGTTACTAACTACTAATTTTTTACACACACACGCGCGGGACCAAAGAGCCAAAGCTCAACCCCCGCAAGCACAAATAGGTGAGTAGGTGAGTACACACACACACACACACACACGCGCGCGCGCGCGCGCGAAGCTGCCCGTAACAGCTGTCAAACTCCCAGGTACCTGTTTACTGCTAGGTAACAGGGGCATCAGGGTGAAAGAAACTGCCCATTTTTGTTTCCGCCAACGCCGGGAATCGAACCCCAGACCTCAGGACTACGTATCCAGCGTGCTGTCCACTCAGCCACCAGCGCCACAGTGTGATCCGGTCAGACTTGGCCTTGTCAGCGTAGTCCTGATCGGTGTTGTTCTGGTGAAAATTGTACTAGTTATGTTTCATTCGTGTGGCCTTGCCCAGGTTATTTTGGGCAAAGTTACTCTGGTGACTATAATCAGTGTAGTGGTTATTACCACCATAAAGTGAACTACATATTGTATGTCACGGGTGATGAGGAGAGATGCCATTAGTCATCTTGGTGGTGCTCTGGAGACGGTGAAGAAGCCAGTTGGGCAACATCTGGTCGTCTCCCAATCTCCTATCTTTTGTGAGTCAGGCTTGGCCTAGTGCTAGTACGCCCCAGTGCTCCTCAAACGGGTTTATCCTAATCCAGGTGATATGTGTGTGCACACACACACACACATATATATATATATATATATATATATATATATATATATATATATATATATATATATATATATATACACAAATTCTTGAGGCAATTCACATAAGAATAGAGCGACCTACCATGAACACCCAAATCACGGAACTATATATATATATATATATATATATATATATATATATATATATATATATATATATATATATATATATATATATATATATATTGTATGGACGCTACGTACGTTGCTTTTATTCAACGATTTTCATATTTAAGACAACACTGGTTGCAACTTTTTCCCATCTTGACCAGAGGCATGTCCATTAAAATAGTATTATTCAGTGTTCAAAAAAAGCTTCAACACTTTTCTATTAGTTGAGTTCAGTTAATTTATCAATTATCATTAAAACGTGCTGCTATTACCATCCTTAGGCTAGCTTCTATAGGCTGGGATGGTGTAAACCCGATTGCAGTTCTCGCGAAGTTTTTGATAATTCAGTTAAGGTTTTGTGTTTGAAATTCTGCCAAGTTGAATGAGAATGTTGAGATGTCTTTGAAACCAACGCTGCTAAAGACAGTGTCTCTGATAACTAATCCGATTTCGTTCTTAAAATTAATCTACTGATACTTGCCGGCTTCGCATACAGGACGCAATAACATTTGGGAAATTGTGCTGCCTCATATCACAATTTGTTTCCATTAATATATTTCTTAGTCGATCCCGCTCATATAATTATAATTTATGTGTTCGTCATGAAATGAAGAAACAGCTTACTTTTCACACGAATGAAACGTGGGTAGGATATTTACCCAATTATTATTAACCCGAGAGTTGCACATCATGATGAGGGTAGCATTAATGGTGCAACAGCATGGGTTTTGTTTCTGTGGGCGGCAGTGGAAAAGGTTAGACATCCAGCTCAGGAACTGAGCGCCAAAATTATTTTATGTTAGCAAATTTAAAGCTTGATAAGCTAGTTACATAGTTGAATGTATATATAAGTATTTTTAAAGTAATTGGTTCACGAATTGGACAACACACACACACACACACACACACACACACACACACACACACACACACACACACACACCCTTAGGGGCCTCGTAGCCTGGTGGATAGCGCGCAGGACTCGTAATTCTGTGGCGCGGGTTCGATTCCCGCACGAGGCAGAAACAAATGGGCAAAGTTTCTTTCACCCTAAGTGCCCCTGTTACCTAGCAGTAAATAGGTACCTGGGAGTTAGTCAGCTGTCACGGGCTGCTTCCTGGGGTGTGTGTGTGTGTGTGGTGTGTGAAAAAAAAAGTAGTTAGTAAACAGTTGATTGACAGTTGAGAGGCGGGCCGAAAGAGCAAAGCTCAACCCCCGCAAAAACACAACTAGTAAACACACACACACACACACACAGAGGGGGACCTGGTAGCCTACCACAGGCTACACACAGGCTACCAGGGGGCCTGGTAGCCTGAGTTAAAGTAGAGTTAAATGAAATAACTGCTTCAGAAACAGATAAATAAAGACATAGAATACACCAAGCACGTCGATAAAACAGAGCCCTGTAGGCTTAGAGGCGGTAGCCAGGAACTGGAGGTCAACCCCCGCAAACAAAAACAGGTGAACGCACGCACACAGACGGATACAGATAGATAGACGGACAATCGGAACCGACAGAGAGGAGGAGCAGCAGGTACAGACAATATCCAGCATATAAGACGTGCAGGAAATGAATGTTATTTAGCATGCGAGACACGATGTAGTTTGGGTAAAATTAAACCAAATTGGAAATACAAGTGAAAATTTATCTTCCCTGATCCATGATATTTGTTGTTGGAGCTCCAGAACATTATGGGCCAGGGAGACGGGTAATGACGGACGCCTCGGCGGCTTGAGCGGCGATGTGTGGGAATGTTTTACGTCGCTGCCGGCCGGAAAGGTTTGTTTTTCATGGGTATATAAACTCTCTTGCAGATATTTTCCTTCTTGCATATCTGGATCAAACACTAGACAATTTACTCCCTTGAAGACTTTGTTACACCCAATGTCAAGCTTCCCTACACTGGTACACCCAGTGTCAAGCTTCCCTACACCGGTACACCCAATGTCAAGCTTCCCTACACCGGTACACCCAATGTCAAGTTTCCCTACACCGGTACACCCAATGTCAAGCTTCCCTACACCGGTACACCCAATGTCAAGCTTCCCTACACCGGTACACCCAATGTCAAGCTTCCCTACACCGGTACACCCAATGTCAAGCTTCCCTACACCAGTATACCCAATGTCAAGCTTCCCTACACCAGTATACCCAATGTCAAGCTTCCCTACACCGGTACACCCAATGTCAAACTTCCCTACACCAGTATACCCAATGTCAAGCTTCCCTACACCGGTACACCCAATGTCAAGCTTCCCTACACCGGTACACCCAATGTCAAGCTTCCCTACACCGGTACACCCAATGTCAAGCTTCCCTACACCGGTACACCCAATGTCAAGCTTCCCTACACCTGTACACCCAATGTCAAGCTTCCCTACACCGGTACACCCAATGTCAAGCTTCCCTACACCAGTATACCCAATGTCAAGCTTCCCTACACCAGTATACCCAATGTCAAGCTTCCCTACACCGGTACACCCAATGTCAAACTTCCCTACACCAGTATACCCAATGTCAAGCTTCCCTACACCGGTACACCCAATGTCAAGCTTCCCTACACCGGTACACCCAATGTCAAGCTTCCCTACACCAGTACACCCAACAACTAGCTCCACCATCTGAGCACCGAGCTCCAGTACACCCAGCTCCATATTCTTCAGTACACCCAACACCCAGTTCCATATTCTCCAGTACACCCAACACCCAACTCTACATTCTTCAGTATGTAGAATATATATATATATTTTATATATATATATATATTTTGTATTTAAAAGATTATTATGTAAAACAATTACCTCGTGAATTTTGTAAATGAAATTGTTTAAGTATTTTATATAAAAGTACTATTCATATTTACTGTATATAAAGAAATGTAAGAATGTACATTTTTTTATCATTATTTAAAGAATTCTTATTTAAAAAAGTAGTACAGGAAACTGAACATTATTCATTCTTATTTAAATAATCTAAGAACTCTTGTGTATATAAATAAAATAAACTAAAACAAAACATTTAGTGCAAAAATAGAAAGATTTTATGAAATACACAAAATATACTTAAAGTCAAGTATACCCGTTATCAATATAAATAAAAGAAAATGCTTGTCTTCCTCTCTGTCTACCCAAATTTGGAAGCCCGATTCTTAGGCCTCGCCTCATTCAACTTTTCTGGATGACACATTGGTGGTGTGGGACTGTTATAGGCAGGTTGGGGGTCGGGCCGAGTGTCCCCTTTTAAGAATGATCAGCTTTTATTGTAACTCCCAGCAGCTCTTACGAACTCCCAGCAACTCTTACGAACTCCCAGCAACTCTTACGAACTCCAAGCAGCTCCGAAACGTCGTCGGTCAACAACTCATACGAAGTCTAAAATGGTGGTTATGGTTCCAGATAGTTTTTGAACAGTTTTCAACTGTTCAAAAGAGGAAGGGGAGAGAGACAGAGACCCGGGCACCGCTGGTTTCCCCTATCTAGTTTTATTTACAAGAACAAAATAAGTGTATGAGAAACTATACCATTTATTTATTTTATTTATTTATATAGACAAGAGTTCTTACATTCTTGTACAGCCACTAGTAAGCGTAACGTTTCGGGTAAGTCCTTAAAATCCTATGTTCCCTGGGTTGCGATCCCGCGAAAAATCGTTTAACAACCAAGTACCCATTTTACTGTTGAGTTAAACAGAGGCTACAGTCCAGTAAATCCTCCGCGGCCAGGATACGAACCCAGGACAAAGCGCTCGCGAAAGTTAAGACGCCAGGCGAGCGTCTTAAGCACTACACCACGGAGACTGCAGTCAAGATTGTTTGAATACTAATCACAGGCTAGTGATAAGGAAGCTAGGGGAGTCCCTGTGGTGATTTCTGACATAGAAAGAATTAAGTAAGAATTGTCACTTATAGGCTGAAATTACAGAGCAAGAGTTGAAAAATTAGAAGAGAGAAGTTGAAAAATGTGGGAAGGAAGACAGTTGCGGCAGTCACTTGAAGGAAGTATTATCAGTGGTAATTTCAGTAGTACAGGAAGCTGTAATCCGAAGTGAGAAAGATGTAAAGCAAATGCAAAAAGATTGTTAACATTTATAGAGGAAGCAGGCCATAGTGTGAAAGGTAAGTACAGTACATTTTAATGATGAAAGGAAATATAAGCCCCCAAAGGTTTATTACAATCATGAGAACAAAAGAAAAATAGTAACTGAACATTTGTGAAAGATAAGTGACACGCTCACTAAACAAGTGGGAATTATATGCTTTATATATAATATAATATTATGTAATATAATCAAAGAAGAATTATATTCTTCTTTTAGAATATAATTAGCATAATTAGGGAAGCTTTTGTATTACCGTAACCAAAAGGAAGTAATCCCGTTGTGGATTATCTCTGAGGATTAGTGTTAGTTTATAATTGGATTTAAGCAAATTATCGCAGTATAAGCATATCGCTTCCGCCTTGTTTTAAAGCCCCATCTGTTTACAAATATCGAATTATATATATGAGGGAGGAATACCACGCTGTTTCGGTCTGCGGGAGTGACTCGGTGCCAACGGGCATCTCGCCTTTGCTAAGGACCAAGACCATGAAATAAATTTGTTAATTGAAATTTTAGCCCCATGTAGTAATTAGAATAACAATGAGGCGAGTAGAGTTAAATGAACTGATCACAGAGGTCAGTAAATATTGAAGAATTTGTTAAAAAGTATTTATACTGTAGTAGTGTGTGGGTGTACTCGCCTAACTTAAGTGTACATAGTTGAACCTCACCACCACCTTATCCCAGTCTTTTCACTGATCTAGAGCCTGCGGCAATTGATTGATTGATAAAGATTAAGCCACCCAAAAGGTGTCACGGGCATGAATAGCCCGTAAGTGGTGGCCCTTTTGAGCCATTACCAGTATCAAGAGCTGATACTGGAGATCTGTGGAGGTGCGACTGCACCCTGCGTGACGGGAGATGTCTCCCCTGCGGCAATGACTCACGAGTCATGATATATCTTACAAAGCTTATATTGGGAGGTAATTTCTACACTTGCCACCTGGCTCATACCATTGTTTACCATTTTCATGGTGAACACGTGATTGTAGCGAACCCTGTGGTTCATCTGGATCTCGCGGGTTTCCGCATCTCTTCTCTTCATATCTTATATATTCCTCTGAGATACATGTATCTCTTCATCATTTTCTATCTATACTTTTCATGTTCACTCTCTACCTTCTCAATAGCCCCTTCTCTCCCTTCTCATTACCTCATTATTCCTTCTCATGTTCTCTCTCCCCCTTCTGTTTATCCTCTCCCTCCCACTTTCCCCATTCATTTCCAACTTTGCGAGATTCTCTCAGTCTTTCTTCTTAGTTTATGTCTCTTTCTGTTTTCATTTAGTGCTTCATTAGGTAGAGCTGCGTGTCATGAATGCATTATCCTGCGCTGGTCTTCAGCAGGTAGAGCAGAGTGATAGTGAAGGATCCTAAAGACTACACAGATGGTAGGCAGAGTCACATAACCTGTTTGTGTTATCATGCTCATGTAGGCTCTGGCGATTGGTCTCAGAGCCTACATGACTTGAGCCTACATGACAGAGCCCCAATCGACTTAAGAATGGTCCAGGACGGACCGAAACGTCGTCGTCCCTTCAACTTCTAGTGTGTGGTCTGGTCAACGATTATTCTCACGTTATGTCGACTTTTAAGTCCATCTCATTTTTGTACCACTCGAAGATGCTACTCCATCATTGTGTACTGTTCAAACGATATATTGTGGCCTGTATAATTACTATAAGATGCCAGTAATAGTACATAGAGCTTCTGGTTCAGTTATACAGGAATGAAGCGAGGTCTGGAGGTCTCTAGGAGGTAGGGAAGGAAACTATCAGAGGGAAAGTGCCAGGACATTACGATTATATAGTACTGGGAAGGGGGTCAGGATAAGGATTTGGGATGGGACGGGGAGAAGGAATGGTGCCCAACCACTTGAATGGTCGGGGATGGAACGCCGATTTGCATGAAGCGAGATGTCTTAAGTATTTACGTAACCTTTTACCAAACCAGTACAACTTTTCTTAATAATTGCGGCTTTGTTTACATTTATTAAACAATTTACGAGCTTCGAAACTTCACAGCCCAAGATTATTATTGCTATAAACAACCTCGGAGCTCATAATTTTGTAATGTAAATAAAGCCACCATCATTAAGGATGTACAGGTTTCGTAATTGGGTTCTGTAAATACTTGCTGAATCCTGGCGCTGATACATCATGTTTCCATCTGTAATCAATTTACTGTAAGTTCTGATGCACCATTTTTCTCGCCATTTAACTGGCAAAGCTTTAATACTCATAAGTGAAGTTCTTTGAATCATATTCTGTAAATCGGAAGAATAAATAATGTTTTATTAAAAGAATTTAATCGCTTCTTTAGGGTATAAAAACAGAAAAAATACGAGTTGATTGACAGACTAATAAGCATACCATTCAAATGTTGGTCATCCACTCACAGTTCCTAAGTGCTATCGTGTGGTCTTGACTAGATATGCCAACACGTCCACCATAGACCACAAGGCAGTGACGAGCACTCCCAATCCGGAGACCTCTGATATTAAGCCAAGTTAAAGAGGCGGTAATTCTCCTTAAGATCCCCCGCAGCCCTGAGCCACAACACTCCACTGGGCTCACCTAATTAAACTGCTAATTCTCTCTTCACCTATAATTGAACGATCGAACCCCCGTCCAGTTGCCGTCATTTACCACGGCGTGTGCATCAGTGGGGAACCCACGTCACCGGACATAATTGAACGCTGCTATTATAGTAATTGTAATGAATACTTGGGGAGTGGGGCTTTTGCAGGGTGCGCCTGGTCCTCCTCTCCGTCGGGGCCGGGAGACGTTGACGACGGACAGCCTCCTACAACAACAACGGACAGATGGTTGTAGGAGGAGGGTCAGGACGAGGACGAAGAAGTCTTCGAGGACGATATGGTAGAAAATGAAATGAAAGAGAACAAGGAGGTGGAGGAAAGCGAGGAGAAGGAAGAGGATGTAGAGGTAGAAGAGAAGGAAGAGATGAAGAAAAGGTGAAGGAAAGCGAGCATGAGGCGGTAAAGAAGGTACAAGAGGGAGAGGAGAAGGAAGGGGGTAGCAAGTAGTAAGTGGATGAAGAAAAGGATAAAGAATAAGAACAAGAGGAGGAGGTACAGGTTAAAGTGGAATAGTTAAGATGGATTATCTGCCAGCAGGTGGAAAGTCTGGTGATGGATTGGTTAAATAGAAGGATGGATTTGTTTCTGCAAGAAGTCGGTTGATGGAGTTGCAAGGTGGGTGGGAAATGAGGAATAGATGTTCTGGCGAGCAGCTGATGGGAGGCTTAAAGATTCACAGGATAACAAGATTTAGGACTCTGATATAGCTGTTGAAAGGATAGGGATTACAGAATGGATGTGATCCTTACATTATGTTGTTTAAGGGGTTGTAAGATGGGTTTTAGGATTCTATTGCAATAGAGTTGTGGGGAATTTGCTTATTTTGAGCTGCAAACTTTATGAGAATGAATATGTTTGTTGAAGTCTTTAGTAAAATATGTATTAAACTGTGTAATAAATGGCAGTTGCAACATGT